CCCCAAAACCCCAAAACCCCAAAACCCCAAAACCCCAAAACCCCTAAAAAACTCGAATAAATTGAACTATTAGCCTAAATTTACATCCAATATTCGATTCGATCATTCAGGACATTTAAGTACAGATTTGCCTCGAGTTTCAGAAATCAGCTAGGTCTTTGTTTCTAAAAAATCTCATCTCAGTGTTTGTTAAGCTGCTCTGGTTGTTGAGAAAGCGAATCTTTGTAGGAGAAATCTGATCCTGGGCCATCTTCTTATGGTCCGAATTCTGATGAAGACCCATTGAACAATTAAATGAGTCAGAATTCTTCAAGTTTCTGTTCACAACAAATTTTGAGGGACAGAATTGATGTTCCTCAGAAATAATCCTTCTTTGCTTGTTCTTCATCTTTTTGGCTCTTTTCTGACAAGAGTCTGCGAAGATGCTATATTCATTTGTAAAGCTCCAGTTATTTGGAACTTTCTGGTCCTTTCTGAGGACGGGATTGGGTCGCCTTAACATCTGAAAAATACCAAGCTTTTCCTTGTCTGCTGCACTTGCCTTTTTGGGCTGGACACTTCTTTGGTAAATCTTAGAGGAACTCCTCCTCTCTTTGTTAGGAAGAAATTCTGCTTCAGAATCAGCATTCTCTAAAAAGATCGATCCCTTGCTTCGGATCTGTTTATCAACTTCCTTCAGGATAAGCTTTCTTCTCGTGTCTCCAAATTTAAGGCCCTTTTTAATTGACTTTGTGATTTTATCACTGAGATAACCTCTTCATCCAAGGATCATCTTGCTCTGAGTATGAAAACTCTCTGAAGGATCTTCAGAGTAAGCAGTAGTGCTTAATGATTTGAGAGTACCTTTACTCTTGAAATTGGTATTTTTACTAGAGGAAGAAAATGAGTTTGTATCCGATCCATTTAAATCATTCAGTTTTAGCCACATTTGTTCAACTTCTTTCTTGTCTGGTGTGGCTTCAGAAAAGATCATTTTCATGCATCCATTGTGGAGTTTAGATATCTGAGGGTTCTGATGTCTTTTCTGTCTTCTGATTACTCACTTTTTCCAAGGTTGTACGCTGTAGACAGTATTGTCCATTCTATAATATTTATATCGCTAGAACAAGAGCATACCTCTCAGCGTTGTTAAAGTTCTGAGGAGTGGCATGAATAAAACTTCTGTTTGGTGGGATTGAGACTACATTGCCCTATACAACATGAAATAGAATTTATAATCAAAAGGGAGAAACTTAGATCACATATTTAATATTGTTATTGATAATATCTTTTCTTACCCTCATCATTGTAATACGAGATTTTGAGGGAAGTGTATCATTTATTTTGAACTTATCTGAGGCTAAAAGTTTTAAAAGATATTACTTTGAGAAATCCACCTATTTCTTGATAATTTAATACATTGAGAAATCATTCTCTTAGAAGCACCAGCTGATAGAACTATCTCTCTTCTGTCTTTGTATGGTTTTGATCTATGAAAAATTAGTAATCAGCCCAATGTAGAGAATGTTAAAAACTTCGTACCTTGCTACTTGTTGTTTCATTATAATTTTCAAATTTGTCTCCTTAAATTGGGGTTTTGGGGTTTTGGGGTTTTGGGGTTTTGGGG